CCAGGTTGTCCAAAGTAAGAATGAGATAATAAGATGTAACACGGCCGGCCGCACGCTTCCAGGAGCTGGGTTTTGTAGTCTCTGGGTTCTTGGCCGTTGATGGGATTACAGGGCACCCGGGGTGGGAGGGTGGGTAGTTGGTGGGTGTGACTCCTGCCTACTGGAAGATGGAGGATCTGGCTGGAGGATGCTCAGCCCCGATCCGAGCAGGCTTGGAGATCTCAGCCCCGGGACCCGCATGCCTTTGTTCCTCTGCTGGTACCTTCATGCGTGTGGAGAGTGGTCTCAGCATGGCTGTGGCTGGTTCTGGAGGTCTTCAGCTGCTGGGGCTGCCCGAGGTGGGGAGAGAAACTTGACCCACCCACCTCCAAGGGGCTCTGGCGAGGACAGCCAGGGGCAGGAGACTCTGCACTGTTCTCTTCTGGGAGCTGGGTTTTATAGTCTCTGGGTCTTGGCAGTTGATGGGATTACACAGCCACATATTCATGGAAAACAAATATTTGAACATATCAATAGATCTATCTTATTCATCTCAAAATGGCAATCAGCATTTTATAGTTTCTTATTTAAAATCAGAAGAAAAAATGAGATAGCTCTCTCACCATTATTCATCCCCAAAGTTGAAAGAGTTTAGTAATTGCAATAAAACAAGGATAAAAGTAAAATGTTAGTTTTGGGAGAGAACTCTACAGAAACCCTGAATATATCATTTATAAAAATATAAATATAACCCTAAAAATTCCTAGAAGTTATCTTCTAAATTAATAAAATAAATATAAATAATAATTTTAATATACCAATGATAAGTAGTTTAAATATTTAATTAAAAATGTAAATGTAGAATTATAACTAAAAATCAAAATACACAAAATTTTACTGAAAAATAAGTTACAACTATATTATTATATTTAATAATTCTCAAATAAATTATAAGAAACTCCCCTTTCTTATAATTCTCATAATTTTTAATGATTCTGGCAAAACCCTGTTTCAGAAGAGGTTGGAGGGTCCGGAACGATAGTACAGCAGGGAGGGCATTTGCCATGCATGTGGCCGACCCAGGTTCAATCTCCCATATGGTATCCCAAAAACCACCAGGAGTAATTCCTGAGTGCAGAGCCAGGAGTAACCCCTGAGCATCACTGTATGTGACCCAAAAAGCAAAAAATAAAAAGAGGTTGGATTACTCATGACTATTGAAAACAGGAATAAGGAGACATGTTATTATATATTAAAAGTTGCTGTAGGAGCCAGAGATTTAGGGGGTTACAATAGGGGTTTAGCCCATTACCTTGCATGTGGCCAACCCAGATTGAGTTGGCGAATCCAGCACAGCTGACAGTCTTTTGACCATTACCAGTCATGTTCCCTGATCACAGAGCCAGGAGTAAGCCCTGAGAACTACCAGATGTGGCCCACAAAACACAAACAAATCAACAAATAAATAAATAAATATAAAATTGTCTAAGTCAAATGTGGTTTGTTCTTACACAAGAGTAGGAAAACTGATCCAAAGGTGACTTTAGAGAAACCCCAAAGAGAAGATAGCACTACACTGTAGTACTGTCCTCCCATTGTTCATCAATTTGCTCGAGAGGGAACCGGTAACATCTCCATTGTGAGACCTGTTGTTACTGGTTTTGGCATATTGAATACACCACGCGGAGCTTGCCAGGCTCTGCCGTGTGGGCAGGATACTCTCGGTAGCTTGCCGGGCTCTCCAAGAGGGGCGGAGCAATCGAACCCAGGTCAGTTGTGTGCAAGGCAAACACCCTACCCGCTGTGCTATCACACAGAAGATACTCAAAATTAAATATTTGTGTTTATAATAAAAAAAACTTTGAGGCATAATTATTTTATGATTACCATAGTTTAGGTAATATGGTTTCAAATAATGTTAAAGTTCACAGCGTTGATATACAAAGTTGCTGCACCCCACCACCATTAAGTTCCCATACCCTCCACCACTGTCCCTGTGTCATGTCTGGCTTGACCTTCATCCACCCACCTACTCCCACTATTAGTCCATTTTGAAATCCAAGGCCAAGGGTTTATTATTATCCTAAACTACCTAGTTCCTTGTTTTGTTGCGTTTTTTTTGTGAGACATCAGTCTTGACGTGAGCAAGATTGCATTCAAATTCCCAATTCCACCACATGCATCTTATGAGCATTTAAATTTTTGAAGTCGCCTTGGGGAAAACAGTGAGAAGATTAACAAGAGGAAATAAAATCCAACAGGTCAAACAGCACCTTGCCTAGGTTAAACAAATGGATGTTGGAGTGAATATGTCAAGTATGAAGTTAGACATGGGGGCCATGGGGATTCCGGAAGCTAGAGATGCAAATATGGTCAGTACTAGAGTTGGAAGAGCTCACATAAAGAAATGAGATCATTAACCAGTCATCTGTTCTCGGGCACTCAGGGTTTTTCCAGATTCTGGCTATTGTAAACAGTGCTACAATGAACAAACAAGTACAAATGTCACTTCGACTATACTTTTTTGCCTCTCTGGGATATATTCCCAGGAGTGGTATTGCTGGGTCAAATGGGGGCTCAATTTCTAGTTTTGAGAATTGTCCATACTGTTTTCCAAAAGGGCTGAACCAGTTGGCATTCCCACCAGCAGCATTGCATTCATCTAGGGAACATAAAGTAACAAAATAGGAGACTAACACCCAAGAATAGCCGAGATAAGTACCAGGAGGTTTACTCCATGGCTTGGAAGCCAACCACACAGGCTAGGGGTAAAGGTAGCTCAGATAGAGAAGGGAGCACCAAATAAAGGGCATTGGGAAGATCCACCCAGGATGGGAGATGCATGCTGAAAGTAGACTATAGACCAAACATGATTGCCACTCAATTCCTCTTTTGCAAACCACAACACCCAAAAGGAGAGAGAGAACAAAAGGGAATGCCATGCCACAGAGGCAGGATGGGATGGGGGGGGGGGGGGTAGGAGGTGGGAAGGATACCGGGATTAGTGGTGGTGGAGAATGGGCACTGGTGGAGGGATGGGTACTCGATCATTGTATAAATGAAACCCAAGCACAAAAATTTGTAAGTCTACAACTGTACCTTATGGTGTTTCACTAATAAAAATTTTAAAAAATAGAAATGAGATCATTCTTGGCAAGATTAAGAGAAAAGAAGGGAGAGCATAAGCCCTCTACACCCAGTGTTCACCTCTCTAACAATCTAAATCTAATTTCATCCCCTTCAAAGCCATCCTAGCCATGTTTAGCTATATAACCACATGGCACTTATTGAAGCACTGTTCCTTGGTTTTCTCATCCCTGAAATGAAGATCATAATCTTATGGGCAGATGAAATTATTTATTGTACATGCCTAGCACACAGTCAGAAATAAGTCCATGCTCACTATTGTCATTGTAGTTACATTTCTCCCCACTCTCAAAACATGAAATGATAAGGAATTCCACACAGTCAGTCTGTGCATAACAGTATCCATTGCTGCTTTTGGGGTATGTGTGTAAGCATGTGTGTGGCTTACAGAGAAGATGAGGGGTGGCTATAGATCAGTGCTGACGAGGCATGATATGATGCAGGCCATATATATACTTCAAATATTTCCATAACCAAGAAGCAAGAGCAATTAATTTTAGCAATATAATATTTAACCTCGTATATTCAAAATATTATTTAAATATGTCATTAATGAGGTATAATACTTGACTTTTTACACTTCAAATTCCAGCATATATATTATTTTTCATTTTTTATAATTTTATTTATTAAATCACCGTGAGAGCAGTTACAAAGCTTACGGGTTTAAGTCTCGGTCATACAATGAAACACCCATACTTTTGCCAGTATCCATTCTCCACCACCAAAAACCCCAGTGTGTCCCCATCCCACACCCTGCCCCTACCTGTGGGGCAGATGATTTCCACATTACTCTCTCTCTGCTTTGATTACATTCAATATTTCGACACCAGACCCACTATTATTATTTGAAATTTTACCCCGACACTCAGATCTGCCAAAAAGGCAACAGTAGACAATTTGTTTTCTATTGCTAGTTATAAATAGCATAGGACGTCGCGTGGCTGCAGTAGTGGCCACACGATTTTGAAATTCCAAAATTTTAACAATTAAATCTGGAGGGATTTCTGCCAAAACCTTCTGGGTTCCAATATTTGTTCTTGAGCCTCTTGGATCATGACCATTAAGCAGCTTGATCAGGAGCCAGAGAGGCCGTTCGTGAGCGGCAACTCAGGGTCTCGTTGGGGTGGGGAGGAAAGGGCCTGCTGCACCCCCATCCTGTGAGGCTGCGCATGTCTCATCACTGCGGGTCCAAACCTGACTGTCCAATGGCCTCTGGAGGATGGGAACCACCGAGCCGGCAAGGGGGAGCAGGCAGAGGGACTACACCCTTTCCCCCCCTGGGGTGGTCTGGCGCTGGTAACCCATTGTGGGGACCAGACACATCTCTGCCAAAAGCCGTTGGATTTCGAGATTTGTTTCTGAGTCACTGGGATCATGGCCATTAAGCAGTTCGATCAGGAACCAGAGAGGCCTTGCCTCCAATTATATACCTGAGCTGGAGGTGGTTTGTGGGTGTGTCTCCCACATACCTAACTTTTGGTCGTTTACTTTCTTGGTAAACTTTGCCCCAAGTTTTTGGGGTCTGGCCAAAGGCACAGCAGCAATTTTGGGGTATCTGGAAGTCTGAAGGCATCATCAGGCTGCTGATATCCAGCATATATATTTTAATGGTACATTCAATAGTTTTCATTTTTAATGACTTTTTTAAGTTATTAAAAACTCTACAGTGAGAGGTGACCATGTTGGACAACAGATTTTCTCAATTAAAAAGGAGCTCAAAAGTCAAACCTAAAAGAGATGGGGGAGGAGAAAAAAATCGAAAAACAAGGCAAATTGAATCTAAGTAGAGAAGGAAGGCGAGAACATTTCTGCAAATAAAAGACATTTCTATTTTTCTTTCTCCAGTAAATGTTTATTTTCTCATTGAACAGAATCCTGATTGATGATCTGCAGGAAGAGATTGAGAAACAGTGTGATGTTAAAGAAGAGAGAAAAGGCAGACATAGTTATGCAAAATATCATAACTGGGACGAGGTACAGTATAAAATTCCTGGACTTCTAAAAACTACCTTCAATATTTTGTGTCACTTAGTTTTCTCTTATTAAGAAAAAAATCTACCCTCAGTATTTGGTGTCATTACGTTTTTTCTTATTCTTGTTTCTCAAAATTGGTTTTGCTCTTAAGATCGTTGCTTGGATGGAAAAGATGTTGGATAAACACCCCAAAATGATCTCACGAATAAAAATTGGGACCACTATTGAAGACAATCCACTTTATGTTCTGAAGGTACAAACAATTCAAAACCTACTGATTTGTATTACCATTGAAAATGATGTTTGAAAGTTATACTGTGACAGAAACTGTGTAACAATAGGAAGTCTTAGCTGTTGAGGAGTATTTAAGCTCTAGATGGTCATTCAAGGGTAGAAATGGCAGATGGTATTAGTCCAAGCCAAGAAAACTCTATAATAAACCAGTAATGAGACATTGCAGGCTAACCCAGAAAATGAATGCAAGAGTTTATTATGTTCCTAGTACATGAAATATTTCCCATTGATTGAGATTCAGCAACACTAATAAATGTCACAAGGTAAAAGAGAAACTAAAGAAGCACAAGACCACAAAATCCCAGAAGAGTGAGGCATTTCATGCGTATATTGATGGAGATTCCCTTCTACAACAAAGCAAATGAATGATACTCAACTGCTGTTGGATTTCTGTACAAACGCCACTTCCTCTAGCATTCCCTTAATAACTGGGAGGAAATTTCTTACCTTGAATCACCATCAAGTCATTGTCTCCAACTACCCAAAACAAACATAATTCCTTTCAAAGAGGTAGCCCTTCAAATATCAGGGCACTGTACCTCCTCCCTAACTAAAGATAGTTAAAGTATTTTTTCTTCACTCCAGACCACCACATCTGGCTCATGAAGCCAAAATATTAAGAGAAAATTGTATGGGAAAAAATTACAATCTGTTGCATGGTAGCAATAAAGCGAGAAAAAAAGCAGTCCAATGGAAAAAATTTTAAAAAGCCAGAAGTAACTCTAATGCAGGAAAAAGTATTAATATTTTGAAAAACACAGTATCCATGGATGATTGATGGATATATAGAAACTCCAGATGTTATGGCCTTCCCTGAGAATCTCTACACACTTACTCATTACACAGGAGATGAGGGAAATAAAGTTTTAGGAACAGAGTTATTGGACTACATGGAATCTGGGGGTGAGTTCTTGCAATACAACATTTCCAGCTTACTTTTAAATAGGTTGGGAATAAAGATGAAAAGAAGGCTATCTTTATGGATTGTGGCATTCATGCCCGAGAATGGGTCTCCCCAGCTTTCTGCCAGTGGTTTGTGTATCAGGTAAGTGACCCAGCACACTCACACATTTCTCCTGGATTGTCATGTCCCCAGAACTTTACTGAGCAGCAAGTGACAGCAGCTCCAACTAACCAGCAGAAACACACTCTGTGCCAGAGGGAAATAAGCACTCTGGACTTGACTCAAAACTTCACACTTGATACAACTGACACTTTCCTCCCGACTTCTTGGGCTCCCAGCTGACAGTTTATTAAACTGTCACAGTTTTATAAGACATTAGAAAATTTGGGGGGGGGGTTGTGGGAGGGGATGGGGACAGCTACCTTATGAAAGTTTCTCCAAGAGTTATGTATGCAACATCTGAACATCTATTATATAACCTACAAGTGTGGTCCTTCTTCCTTGAGCCGAAAGTACAGAACCTAAGTTTCTGTTTAAATAGTTCATGCACAAAAAAGCCAGTTAGAAACCTGAACAAAAGTGATTTTAAATAAGACTATTATAAGTATCTTCAATACCTAAACCCAGAGGATTTACTTTTTTTTTACACTGTAGGGGAGGAAAAACGTTCATATTTCTTCTACTCTTCTAGGATTCTCAACTGGTCTTTATAACCAAGGAGAAACATACAAATTTATTCAGTTAAAAAGTTTTATATGACATGGAAGATTTCATAAGGAAATAAAAACCTAAAGAGGAGTATAAAAACAGAAAAAAAAATATTAAAGTGAGACACACACACTTGAACTTACTTTTCAAGTGAAAAATCACTCTCTTCTATAAAAAGATGAATCCTGATTATAGTCTAGCTATTCCCTCTTACTTTATTTCTACTGTATTTTGATTTCTACTCTCCAAATCTCCTTCCTGCCAGATTTTGCATCCACCACTGATGAGATGTGCATGATAATGGCTTTCTGGCCATGGATACTTTCACTGGGAATGACTTTACAACTAGCACTGATTTATTCCAGTAGTTGTTTTAGCACTTCCAGCTGAGAGGCCAGAGCCCCTCTTACTCAACCCATAAAGGAACACACATTCCAGGGCAAATAAGAAATCTCTTGGTTCCAATATAGAGATCGCTTGGAAGAAGGTGTTCAAGAATGATAAGATATTTAAGGCAGCCAGAAAGAAAGTCCAAATAACTTAAGAAACTTCAGTTCGATGCAAGAAAAATGTTGGTGGGTCAATTTCAATAGTTTGAGTTTTTAATAGAAAGCTTTTTCTTTATTTTTACATAGAGCTAACTTATAAATCTTCCCCAATATTTACAGACTCTATCTATATTGACCTAACAATATTAAATCAAATTATTCCCTAATTTTTACTGCTGGTTTCAGACCACCATTCATTGCAGGAAATATATTTCCTATATAATGTTTTTAGCACTTCCAATCTCAATGATCATTGAAAGAATGTTTCATTCAATTACTTTCTCTAGTCTAAAGAAGTGTCATATCTTTCTGTCATCTACATGGGTCAGTAACTTTTGTACAATTTAGAAAAAAATATGGTTTAAGTACTTTGGGCAAAATGAAGAACTGCAGGATAAAACAGCTTTTCATTTCAACCAAAGGTTTTTAGATGGTAACAAAACTTCAACAATAGCTTAAGTTTTTTTTTCTATGCCTACAGGCAGCCAAATCTTATGGGAAGAACAAAATCATGACCAAACTCCTAGATCGAATGAATTTTTATGTTCTTCCTGTGTTCAACGTTGATGGATATATTTGGTCATGGACACAGGTAGGTTTTCATTCATAGATTGATCGTACTTATTGACTTTATGACCACTGATCATCATGTGACAAGTTTGTGTAATCAGCAAATTCCAACTCAGATGAGTATATTGTTTTATAGTCTCAATTTCAGACAAGAGCAAACATGACTTCCTGGTTGCTTGTGTATCCTTGAAATCATACGACATTTTTGTTGCTAAAGCTAGTACTGTGGGGAAAAAAATGAAGTAGTAATTTTATATGATATGATATAGCATAGCTAATTAAACAAAAATTATAAATAAAAATTGATATGGACCAGAGAGAAAATACAACAGATAAGGAGCTTGCCTTGCATTGGCCAACCTGGGTTCAATCCCTGGCATTGCTGATGGTCCCCTAAGAAATGCTAGGAGTGACTAACCTTTGAGCACAGAACCAGTAATATATTTCCTAAGCACCATTAGACGCGGCCCCTGCAAAAATAAAAATAAATAAATAAATACAATTAATTAAAAGGCACTATATACAGTGATTGTAAAGCAAATGTCATTGTACCCTATCAATTTGAGGCAGCGTTTAAGGTAAAATAATTATATCCAAAAAATTTAATACAGTTATCTGTTATTAAACAGGAACCTTTATTGTCCCCTTACTGTTTTATAAATAAGATTAATAATAAACATCCACACTGACATAGAATACCAAATTATTTTATGAAAATTATGCTCCAACCCTTTGAGCTATATTATATCTGAATTTCTAAATAGTGAAAGGTGTAATAAAGTTAGTATCTAAATTACAGGCAATTTTAGAGTACTTTTGATTTTTTTTGTTTTTTTGCTTTTTGGGTCACACCCGGCAATGCACAGGGGTTCCTCCTGGCTCTGCGCTCAGGAATTACCCCTGGCGGTGCTCAGGGGACCATATGGGATGCTGGGAATCAAACCCGGGTTGGCCACGTGCAAGGCCAACGTCCTACCTGCTGTGCTATTGCTCCAGCCCCTGTTGATTATTTTTTAAGACTGAAAACTAACCAGCAGGTTTTTTTTGAAACTATAGAATGGCTTTATTAAGGTCCTAGAGTGTTAATGAAAAACTAAATTTCTGAAGTTGTTGCAAATTATAATTTTAAAAGGCATTTTTCCTTTATAATAAAGGGATGCAAGGTAACTAGACTTTTAAAAAAAAAAGGTTGTAGATACGTGCTGAAAAAATACAAATGATCAAACTGAAAAAAGTGAGTGTATCTATTGTGTAATGATGTAATCACTTCCATCATTCAATACCGCAGGATCGCATGTGGAGAAAAAATCGTTCCAAGAACCAGAACTCAGAATGCATCGGTACAGATCTCAATAGGAACTTCAATGCTTCCTGGGATGGTGAGTAACAGACTTGATTTCAAGAGACAGTGCAATAAAGCGTGTTTAGCCACTGAATTTTGCTAAACCACCTACTTATTTAAGGAAGCAAAGATTGATCTTGGTTGGGTGAATGTTACTTCTCCTACCTGCAAAATAAAACGATGCCCCACTACCGCAGAGGGATTCTGAATGATTTGTTGTATGGGAGGAGAGAGGATCCCGGGGACCCAACCATCTTTACTCGTTACATCAACTTGGCACACTCCAGACGCACAGAACGTCATACAGTCTGGAGTGAGATCTCAGTTCCCCTCCCTCCTCTTCCTGGTCTTATAAATTGGAGAAGCACCATTGGTTAAACCCAACCTACAAGTGGTTCTTAGATGGTTTGGGAAAAGAGACATCTAAGGCACAGAGCCTGCTCATGGAAATAGCCCGTGCTAGCAGAACTCACACCATCAGGAGACACACTGGTCAGGAGAAATTACACGAGTCCCATCCGTGCAGGTTGTCCTTCCCTCATTTTCTTGAACTGCGACCCCAGCATTTAGTCCTGCTCTGCCATGATAAATAGGATAGTAAGGTGGGGGCAAGCTGCCTGCTGAGGCAGGTCAGATACTCAGGCTCCAGGAATGATGCTCGCCCACCCCACAGTAGTGCCCAGGTTGAACTGGACTGTGGACAAGATGACCCCAGACTGCTGGGTATGACTCCTGTGACCTGGGAAATATTAGAAGTGGGAAGCCAGCAAAGCTAGGATACCCCAGGGGGCCTCAGCCTGCGATGCTGTGACGTGCGTGAACCAGTAACCTACAGTCAGTGGGACTTTAAGTCTGGCTCACACGTTCTAAACATTTCGGGAATCCCCCTGGGAAGAGGCAGGGGCTGCGCGATGCAAGTAGGGTGGGTTCTCATGTACCCATGTTCTCTGCAGCTTTACCTGTCACCAACAACCCATGTTTTCCTATCTATCGGGGCCCCGCGCCGGAATCGGAGAGAGAGACAAAAGCTGTCACTGACTTCATCCGAAAACACCAGCAATCTATCAAGGCCTACATCACCTTCCATTCCTACTCCCAAATGCTAATGTACCCCTATGGATACACCAAAGAACTGCCCTCAAACCACAAGGAACTGGTACGTAGGGGGAAGTCTACGTTCATGCCTACCCCCCATTTTAAATCAGCTCCTTATGAACTACTTGAGTTGTGTAATGCTGAAGAAAATAAAGGAAGAAATTCACTTTATTAGAGTTAAAATCATCTTCAAATTAACTTTTCATTTGATAAAAGTACATAGGTAATAAGATCTTTCATGCAAAGTGATTATGCTAATAGTGATATAGGTATCACTGTATGACTGTCCTCCCGTTGTTCATCAGTTTGCTCCAGCGGGTCCAGTAACAACATTGTGAGACTTGTTACAGTAATATATGACTAAGCCTAAAATTCTGTTACCACACAGATTATGATTTAGCTAAGCATTTACCATGATTATACATATGCCACAACCTAGAGCAAAGGTATCTACTTTAAAAACATTTGTCAGGATCTCTTTGATAGTTCTTAATATTTTATTAAATTAGTTTAATTTTAGCCTCCTGATTCATTGGGAAATGAAATTAATTATTTTACTTTCTAAAGGAAGAACTTTATGTTTGGAAAACCTTCCACAAAGAATGAACTGTTTTTCTGGGACTATTACCACTAATATATTTTTCTTTCCCTTGGAGATAATTTTATTATCTTAGTTTTATTTTAAAAGAGAGAGGGAGAGAGAGAGGGAGAGAGAGGGAGAGAGAGAGAGAGAGAGAGAAAGAGAGATGTCCACATGTGGGTTTCAATAAATCAGAATATCTGACAGGCTGAATGAATGGAAACAAAGGAAATAGTTTTAATTACTGTAGAAGAAAAGAAAACAGAAAAAAATTAACATCGATCGCCTGGTGGTTGACAAATATAACAACACACTCAGTAAGAGCTATAATTCAAATAATGCTTCATAAAATTAGTTTTCAAGAAATAAGAGGTCAGATTGTCATTCTGACTTCACTCAATTGTATTCTGCACAACAGCATTTAATTTGAAGTTGAGCTGAGGTTTGAACCAGTCATTAAAACCATCTATAATTATACTACAAAGAAAATAGACAAGCGATATATGGCTCATTTATTTAACCAATCAAGTTCAGAATTTACATCCATGAATTTGATCAATTTATGCAAAGATGAAGCAACTTGACTTTAATCTGCCTTTAGGAAAAGAAAGCCTATGAAAATATAATATTTATCAATAAAATTATAGACAAATACATAGAACAAACTACTTTGAGTAAAGAGTTAATAGACAAAAATTAAACCAACTGAGAAAAATCATTTGTTTATATACAATATATTTAAAGACCTAAAATAATCTTCATTTAGAGTTCAAATTTGTTAGTAACTATAATCCATTAAAGTTGATGCCAATAATCATTCTCAGAATACAGAACACTAAAGAGCATAGGAAAGCATCACATGGCATTCTGGAAAATGAACTCTAAGTTAACAAATTTTTTAAAATGTTTACTTTTGATTGAGAAACCATTGATACTTTAAATGAGATATCACAGTTTACAAGAGTAATGAAGAGCAGGAAAAAATAGTTTATCTGATAAGGCACTTACTTTGCATGCAGCGTACTGGGGTTCACTAGCACTCACACACAGTACTCTGAGCATTTCCAGGAGTAATACCAGAGCACTGCAAGGTGTGACCCAGAAACAAAGAAATTCAATAATATTGAGTTATTACAGTTGCAAGGCCATTATACCAAAACCCCCACCCGTGTTTCAAGATGCCTCTACCATTATCCCACAGTCCCTTTCCCTGCCCTCCACCCCTCGCTCCCTAGTACTTAGTTCTATCGATCATGTCTCAGAGTTTGTTTGAGCCAAATTGTCTAGTATTTATTTATTTATTTATTGCTTTTTGGGTCACACCCAGCAATGCACAGCCAAGTCACTCTTGGCTCTGAACTCAGGAATCACTCCCGGCGGTGGTCGGGGACCATATGGGATGCTGGGAATCGAACCTGGGTTGGCCGCGTGCAAGACAAACGCTCTACCAGCTCCAGCCCCTGTCTGGTATTTATCTTTTACTTCCTAACTCACTGCACCAAGCATGACACTTTCCAATCCCATCAGGTTGCAGAAGGCTTCAGAAATTCAGTTTCTTAGAGCTGATTGGTCTGTCTGCAGACCACTATTTCCTGATTCGTTCATCTATTATTGGACACGTGCTGGTTTCCAGATCTTGGCAATTGTAAGAAGTGCTGAGATGAATATAGATGTACATGTCTTTTTGAATTAATATTTTTCTATTTTTGAGGTATCTCCCTGAGGTTATATAAAAGTTATATTCACAATATATTGAGGTGGCTACAACCTATTTTTCCAGAGAGACTGAACCCTGCGGTGGTGCCACCAACAGTGAATGTAAAGTCCTTGTCACCACATCCCCACCAGCACTATTTCCAGTCTTTATTCATATAGAACCTTCTGGTATTCGTGTTTTTAAACAGGAGACAACTGCCCTCTTAACCCTTAAGATGCTCAGATCCCAAGTGTGTAAATCCTATAATGATAAAACAGGAAAGAACAAATGGGAGACACTGACTTTGGAAAGACAATTACTTGAAACCCAAAAAAGAAAAATCTGATAGAAAAAGAGTATGATTTCTAGAAAGAACGATGGAGGAGACAGGAGGGAAGAGGGGGAAGAATGCGAAAGAAAGAAATGCTGGGGCTGGAGCAATAGCACAGCGGGTAGGGCGTTTGCTTTGCACATGGCCTACCCGGGTTTGATTCTCAGCATCCCATATGGTCCCCAGAGCACCCCCAGGAGTAATTCTTGAGTGCATGAGCCAGGAATAACCCCTGTGCATCGACAGATAGGACCAAAAAACAAAAAAAGAAATAAATGAAAAATGAGGTGTTACTATATATTACTGCTTCACCTTGAAAAGAATCTCTATGTTGTCTTAGTGAAAATTAATTTCTCACTCAATAATTTATTTTGATCTTCAAATGTCAAATAAGCAATAAGATAGTTTATTTGACATTTAATAAAATTTTATCAAATTCAATTTAATAAATTAATGTTATTAGTTCTTTCCCCCATCCCCAACAACAACAAAAATAATGTTATTAAATGGTATTTTATCATTCCTCTCTAATGGCCTTTTTCTCTCCAGGACAAAGTAGCAAAGATCGGTGCTGAAGCTGTAGCCACTCGATACGGAACCAGCTATATCTATGGCCCAATAGCATCAACAATTTGTAAGTTTTCCATCACATTTACTGGCTCAGTTTCTCCAATTATCTTTTCACAAATATGTAAGAGAATGGTATAACAGGCACAAGGGTGAGCACATCCAGAATCATTCATTTAAACTCCAGTTTTTCAAAAGGAAGTTCGGAATCATGGTATAAATCTAGGGGTCAAAGTCAGGTCACTGAGGGAAGGGATGAGATTATTATAGAAACTAATACTGGACTTTTCACGAGATGCAAGCTCAACAGAAGTAATTAAGTCCAAACAAATTTACAGTATAATTCATCTACCTACCTTCAACAATGTTTAATCCTCACAGGAACTAATACCAATTAGGATGGGGTCCAAACGGTTTGGTTTTGTTTTCATTTTTTTAACTACTTAAGTACTGAAGTTTTCTAACTACTTCGACTCTAAAAACTGCTTAAGTTTTTTTTAACTACTTGGACTCTTTCTTCCACTGATTTTTATTAGTGAAACACCATGAGGTACAGTTGTAGACTTACGAATTTTTGTGCTTGGGTTCAGTTATATAATGATCGAGTACTCATCCCTCCACCAGTGCCCATTTCCCACCACCACTGATCCCAGTATCCCTCCCACCCACCCCCCATTCTCCCCCCCCACAACACCCTGCCTCTGTGGCAGGGCATTCCCCTTTGTTCTCTCTCTCCTTTTGGGTGCTGTGGTTTGCAAAAGAGGCATTGAGTGGCAATCGTGTTCGGTCTGTAGTCTACTTTCAGCATGCATCTCCCATCCTGGGAGGATCCTCCCAACACCTTTTACTTGGTGCTCCCTTCTCTATCTGAGCTGCCTTTTCCCTAGCATGTGCAGCTGGCCTCCAAGCCATGGAGTGAACCTCCTGGTCCTTATCTTGGACAAGCCAATTTTTAACCTACTGCTTCTGCCAAGATTTCAAAATTTATGCCACATTCCTTCTATTGAATGACTGAATGAAGCCAAACATATTCCGCTGAATACCTGTACCTTTTCCTACCCTCCTTACCAGCCTGAGCACTGACTTTATTAATTACTAATAATAATTCCATTTTCCCAGCCATCTAGATTGAAACCTTAGTCATGTTGATCAAATTCTGTAACTCTTCCATTACAGTATTTCTTCCCTAGCCTCTTCCATTCTGCTCCCAGCGTGCTGACTTTGCACTAGTTCAGTCTTTCCATTCATAACCCTTCCCAATTGCTGTCTGCTCTCCCCTGTCCAAATTGACCCTCGCCAAAATGATGAACAGAACCACAGTGATTGTTCTGGCCTCCCAAACAAAACTGAAACACCTTGTCCTGATTTACCTGATATTCTGAGTTTCATTCCACGAACACACCGCTCTTGATTCCAGGCTTCTGGATCTCTGTGACCTCAACAGCCTGAAAAATGCCTCCAGTCTTTACTAACCTTGTGGTTCACTCATTAGATTGCTTTCTTCCATCACCATCTGGAAAAACACAAGCCTTCTGTCAAGACTCTCCTCAAAAATACCACCTCCATCACAGAGGTGAAATGCAATCTCTTCACCCGTCCTAAACTTTTCCCCTTAAGACCTGGTAAGCTCTGGTTCCTTTCCCACCCTGACATATTCTGCCCTCTCTCCTGATTAATATCTTTGACATCATTCCCAAAGCTTTCAGTAGCATTTTCTTATCTTTCTACTCTGAATCACCCACCCTTCTCAGTGAGAAGGAACAAGCATTGTTAATATTAAAGTTTTAATAAATATTTCTTTTCGGGGGGGACGCTGTTTCGGAGACCACACCTGGTGGTGCTCAGGGCTTACTCCTGGCTCTGCACTTAGGAATGACTCCTTGGCAATACTCAGGGGACTATCTGGGATATTGGCAAGCAAACCCTGTTTGGCCATATACAAGGCAAGCCACCAGGTTATTGTTCCAGTCCCTTAATATTTCTTGCTTGAATGCTTAACATTATCTCTTCCATCTTCCTATCAAAATATCCCTTTCTTTTTCCTTTCTCCCTTAGAATTTTGCACTCTGGTATTTCAGCCTGAAATGTTTTTGTCAGTAAAACTTGTGTCATATTCTAGAACTTACTTCTATTCCACAAATGATTTGTGCAGCAAAGAGTTTCCTCCATGATATAAAACAAACTAATATGAACACATGGATAGTTTGAAAGGAATGAAGAAGGTGCTCGAACACAGGTCCCGCTGGGTGGTAGAATTTACCAGAAAAGCAAGACAGGTTAGACAGAGAAGGGTCAGTGGATTGAATGGGGGCCTACTGGTCAGATTGAGCCAGCAGAGGCCTCAAAGGATAAAGACCCATTTGGCACAATTTTGGGGGTCTTTCATTGTGTGTGTTTGAGCTGGCTAAGTGGAAGTTTTTGCTTTTCACAGATTAGTTGATTTGGGGAGGTAGGTGAGTAGTTATGTAGGCAATCCTGGAAACTAAACAGCAGAGTTGAGCAACAATGGAAACTGTAGAACCTCCTGGACACAGCTAAATCATTTTAGCAGGCAAACATTTAAGCCCGCTGATCATGCTAGTAGAGACAGTACTAACCTGTCAAGCATACGGGTCTTAAACAATGAGTCTTGCTGCACTCATTTGTAGAATATAAAATAACATAATATGAGACAGACACCCAAGGACAGTATAGACAAGGACCAGGAATATTACTCCATGTTTTGAAGCCTGCCTCATGAGCTAGGGGAGAAGGCAGCTGGGATAGAGAAGGGATCACTAAGTCAATGATGGTGGAAGGAATCATTCGAGATGGGAGATGTGTGCTGAAAGTAGATAAAGGACCAAACGTGATAACCTCTCAGTATCTGTATTGCAAACCATAATGCCCCAAAGTAGAGACAGAGAGTATGGGGGAAACTGTCTGCCATGAAGGCAGGGTGAGGGGTGGGATGGGATATACTGGGGACGTTGGTGGTGGAGAATGTGCACTGCTGGAGGGATGGGTGTTTGATCATTGTATGATTGAAACTCAAGCATGAAAGCTCTGTAACTGTCTCACGGCGATTCAATTTTAAAAAAAGAAAGAAAGAAAACTAAAAAAGAAAAAGTGCGTCTTGGTAAGGGGGCTTTTCTAGACCATTTCATCGTATCAACATGCTCTTATCTAAATCTTAAGTTTCATAACCCATGGGTATGGGTTTATATTTTCAATCTTTTTAATTAAATAATAGTCTTCTTAGTAACATTTCATAAATGCTGACAGGAAAAAGTCAGATTTAGTGACATCCTCATAACTAGTTTAAGCTTCCTTGGTTGGTTTTCTAATGACAAATCGGTTTAACACTAGTAACGTGATTAGCAAGAAAATTGATATACTGAGTACAGAGATAATGTACTTTTGCATTATTTGCGTGCATCGATTCTAGTCCTTGCTTCCTTCCTTGCTGCTAGCACTTACTCAGACCTCCTCTCTCTGCCACTCTATGTGCCCATGAAACAAAGTCAGTTCGATGGCTGGCCCAAGTAGAATGTAATTTTAGAAATACAGCACATATTTAAGATATATGGTGAATCCCAAAGCCATGATTACTTTTTGTCCTATGCTGTACATGCCACTACTTCCATTCATTACCACAATTAACTGTGCACATAATTATTTTTACTGCTAATTTTATGCCAGTGAATTTCCATTTCAAGAAAAATGCTGCATTTGTTTCTAATTAAATATTTATCGCTTATGTTTTACAGACCAAACAACAGGTTCTTCCTTAGACTGGGCTTATGACCTGGGCATCAAACACACATTTGCCTTCGAGCTCCGAGATAAAGGCAGATTTGGATTTTTGCTTCCAGAATCTCAGATAAAATCAACTTGTAAGGAGACCATGCTAGCTGTCAAATTTATTGCCAAATTTGTCCTCAAGAATAGTTCCTAAAGGATTGCCCGTAGCTTGGGAGACAATTAACCCTTCTTAGATTCTTTCACCAGAAAGTAATCTTCAGTTAGCCCTAGAGGGGTTGCCATGCCATTTTTGCTCACTTAACTCCTATCTATTTCTTATTGTCTTTTATTTACTATTATTTTGCAAGGCCTTAGCAAAGTCCTTTTTAAGAAAAAGCTTTTGACTGCCTTTCTTTGCTCCCTTTAAAGTTTAAAGCTAATGCATACTATTTTGAGCAATTAGGAAGACGATATATATATATATATATATATATATATATATATATATATAAAGTCGTCGGGGAAGAAATGAAAACCTTTTGTTTCCCCAGCATTTTTATGATGTAGGTTCATCATTTCATCTACAGATGGGAATAAAAATAAAATGCATTCTCATGCTTTAAAAATGCCTCTTCTCTCTTTTAATATTCTTCAAATCTTACTGTTAGCATTCATAGTCAAACACTAATGCTTATCATAGTCAATAATATGATAAAAACATTACTTGAATTTTCAAAAACACAATCTTTCCTACACACATTTTAATAGAAGTTTTCAGGGCTTATATCTTCACCATAGCAAAAAGTAATCCTAGCCAAAAGAACTAGTTTACATAGAGATGAATCAGTACTTTAAACAACCAATCCAGTTCCCATCAACATATGGTATATTAAATTCAAAATAGTCTGAGTTCGCCTACTTTCTCTTCCATAAGCAGAATAAGGAACCTGCCAAAGCACCTCTGAGCAAATGCAAACACAGCCATCATGTAAGCCCTGTCCTTACAATGGACAGAAATGTTATCAGAAGCTGATAAGAAAATTTTACATTAGTTGGGGCAGTGGTAACTTGCTACTCCCAGACTATGTATAGCCCATAGTGTGAGATAGTATTACAGGATACCTTTTCCCCAAAAGAGATTCACAAGACCTCCTCATACGACCACAGTGGGCTTGGGCTTTTCTATTCTAGAAATAAAGTGCACAGATGCCTAGTCAACAGAGGGAGAACTCCAGAGTTGCTTGACTTCCTCTGATATCTCTCAGAACATTCTAGATGAAAACTTTTAGCTTTCTAAAAGATCCTGATAAACCAAGTCAAAAAATAATTATCTGGGAGGTTTCTCATGAATACTTTTAGAATTTGGTGAAACAAAGAATTCCCTCCAATCTACAATGGAAGATTTTTCTGGTAGGCAAAAGCTTCCCAGACAGAATCATGTAGGAGAAACCACTACCAAGATCCCTCCCCCCCCAAAAAAGTAAAGGCTTTACGAGTCGAAGAAGAGAATGTAATTCAGGAGTATAAAGGTTAAAATTATGTTACAAAATCAAACTATCTTTGTGAAAAACATAATATTCAAACCTTTTGTAAAATAAATAATATTATTCAGCATTCAAACTAGCATTTTAAGCATAAATGTAAATTTGTTTCATTATAAGTGCCATATGGGAATATAGTATCATCCATACGTATGTGTTGAACTCAGAAAGAACTGAAAGGAAGTCAAACTTTAACATTTACCACTGAATATTGCCTCATGTTTATCCATTATTTAGATTATAGAAACTACTAAGTTGAGCACACATTTTACTAAAACTTGAAATACAGTGTAGTTTAATATTTTTCCTCACACTCATAAAAATAAATTTAGTGACTAACATATCAAAACTCCTCATGAGACAGTTTCTTATCTTAACTGACTAACTTTTGAATGGTATCTCAGGATATTGTGTGTGTGTGTGTGTGTGTGTGTGTGTGTGTGTCTTATTTCACATGAATTGAGAAAATAAGTGTATGAAGAGAAAATCTCCATTCAGGTTTTTAAAACTTCACTTTCTTTCCAGAGAGGTTTAAGGAAGTGCTGTGATTTCTCATTTATCAGCAGAGGTCTTTGTAGCCAACTTAAAAGTTTTGCTGTTTTCAAGCTCTGAGTCAGGAGTCACCCTAAGAACAATCATGTATGACTGAAAACCAAAATGACCCCAAAAAATTTAATTCTATTGTTCCTTAAAATATCCTTGGCACAATGCATCCCACCAGAAAATCATCCTTTCTTTTTCAGTTTTCTTACTATCAAATTTACTCAAGGAAGATTATTTTGTAGTTTGAAGTTGTATTATTCTACAGCAATGATATCGTGACTGAGACACACATTTTACCAACAGTTTGTACTAATAATTTTGCTAATGCAAAAAAAAAGTCTTCAAAGAGTGAGCATTATGACTCCAAACTGAATTTTAAATACCTTATCCAAGATAGCCTCCTTCTGTCCTGTGCTCTAGATACATTCCAAAACTGAATGTAAACTTTTGGAGTCACGCTAGGCAGTGCACAGGGCTTACTCCTGGTTCTGCACTCAGGAATTACTCCTGGCAGTGCTCAGGGAACCATATGGGATGCTGGGGATCAAACCCAGTTGTGCTTGTGCATGGCCCTATCCACTGTACTATCACTCCAGCCCTCTCTATTTCTTACTTATGACAAACTGCTGTACCTGATTTTGTTAGATTAAGAAATAAATAAGAAATTCTCTGAGAAATGTGCAGCACATCACTGGAACACGCAAGTCCTCTCTTCTCACATTCTCTCTTTTCATGTTTTCTCCTGCTGGCTTCTTGGGATATTTTTCTCTTTCATATAGTACATGTAACCATTTTTCTAAAATAAAGAATATGCAGGGGGGGCAAGGGAGTGGGTTGGAGAGATATTACAGTGGATAAAGCACTTGCCTTGCACACCACTGACCTGGGTTTGATCCCTGCCACCACATGTGATTCTCCTCCCTCAAAAAGTGATCCCCGTGGTACTGGAGCACTAGTACAGCAGGTAGGGCGTATGCCTTGCATGTGGTCGACCAGGGTTCAATTCCCAGCATCCCATATGGTCCCCTGAGCACCACCAGGAGTAATTCCTGAGTGCAAAGCCAAGAGTGACTCCTAGGCACCGCCAGGTGTGACCCAAAAAGAAAAAAAAAAGTAACCCCCGAGTTCTGAGTCAGAGTAGGTTCCAAGCACAGCAGAGCCTGGTGGAGGAGGAGAAGATGAAACAGAGGAGGAAGAGCAAGAGAGGAAGAGGAGGAGGAGGAGGAGAAGGAGGAGGAGGAGGAGGAAGAGGAAGAGGAAGAGGAAGAGGAAGAGGAAGAGGAGAAGGATAAAGAACAAGAAGGGAATAAAAGCGTTGGTTTAAAAATCTATAGTAAAGTACTGTAATGTTTTCAGAAATGCAACTCCCCAAGATATAAGCACTCATCAGCAAAAGCTGTAATCAATCTTATTTAAGATTGATTTGAGCATCAATAAACAATGTACTAATGCACAACAAAGTGATTTTAGAACTATTGTATGCTAAGAGACTAGATATTAATTACTTTATCACTAAAAGTGATGGCTAATTATGAGGTGATAAAGGTGCTAGCTAATACTATATTGCAATTAATATATCTAATGAACTGGGTTTTAAAACCCAGCTCCCAGAAGAGAACAGCACAGAGTCTCCTGTCTCTGTGCCTGGCGGTCCTCACAAGGGCCCCTTGGAGAAGGGTGGATTGAGTTTCCCTCCCCACCCCAAGCAAAGCCCCAGCAGCTGAAGACCTCCAGTTCCAGTCACAGCCATGCTTAAGACCACTCTCCACACGTTTGGACGAGCCTCACACATGCAGGAACCAGCAGAGGAACCCAGGTGTGAGGGACCCGGGGCGTAGATCTCCAAGCCTGCTCAGATTGGGACTGGGCCTCCTCTACCCAGATCTCCCATCTTCCAGTAGCTAGGCTTTATACCCACCAACTGCCCCTGGCACCGTGTAATTCCATCAACGACCAAGACCCAGAGACTATAAAACCCAGTTCCCAGAAGAAGCAAATGTGGCCACATGACATCTTATTATCCAGTTCTTATCTGGAGAACCTGGCAGGCTACAGAAAGTATCCTGCCCACACAGCAGAGTCTGGCAAACTCCCCGTGGTGTGTAGAATATGCCAAAAACCAGTATCAATGATGGGTCTCATTCTCCTGACCCTGAAAGAGCCTTGAATGTGGCACTTTCTAAAATCTCAGGCCTAGGATGAAGAAGACATTACTGGTGCCTGCTCGAGGAAATCAATGAACAACAGGATGACAGTGATACAGTGATATCTAATGAAGACGTATACCTTGATCTTATATCATAATGGAAGTCAAGTATGTGTCAGTAAAAAATTAAATTTTTATTGAATTATTGTGAGATACAGTTGTAAAGCTTTCATGTTTGAGTTTCAGTCATACAATGATTGAACACCCATCCCTCTACAAGTGCAATTTTTCCAACACCAATGTCCCCAGTATCCCCCCATCCACCCCTCCTGCTACAGATACTGAGAGGCCATCACGTTTGGTCCTTTATCTACTTTCTCCCATTATCTACACATCTCCCATCCCCAACAATACCTCCCACCATCGACTTAATGATCTCTTCTCTCTTCCAGCTGCCTTCTGCCCCCAGCTCATTAGACAGTCTTCCAATTATGGAGCAATAATCCTGGCCCTTGTGTCTACTGTCCTTGGGTGTCAGTCTCATATTATGTTATTTTGTATTCCACAAATGAGTGCAGTCATTCTATGTCTGTCCCTCTCTTCCTGACTCATTTCACATAGCATGATACTCTCCATGACCATCTGCTGGAATACAAGGAGCTTAGGTTTATCAGGTTACACCCATCCTAGTCAAAAGAAGCTAAAATCTGTAGAGACAAAGCATACCGTTTGAGATGTTTTCAATCCCATGTCAAAACCCTTGATTCCCTGCAACTTTTGAAAAATTCAATTATCTAAGAGCATTTGTAACAGGAGTCCGGATAATCCACCTATCGTCTTTTCCATAGATCTTACTGAAAAGGTACTAGAACAATTCTGCATGTGATTTAAAGAGTTTCTTATAACAAAACAATTTGATCAGTTCCTTTTCTTAAACCAACCTCAAACCTCATATACACATTCCTTTTACAAACATTCTATAACTGGATTCTTTTCCTTTTTCCCACTGATATCTTCATCAATTATCTTTCTGACTTAAGACACGCATCTATATTCCTAATAGTCATCCCACAAGTTTAACCTCTTATTTTACTGAACTTAGTACAACATGATCTCCCAAGTTTAGACACTAGTTACCAATCATCTCATTTAACATTGACAAAAATACTTTGAAATACCATTTCAAAAGCATTATATCAGTTCTATAGGTATGCAAAAGGCTTTAGAGATGCTCACAACTAAA